TGAGGAGAAGGAGAAGCATGCCCTTGAATCCTTTGGTTTTCATTTTTTGTACTATTCGGAACATTTCCCAAAATTTGGGGAAATTTGTATCCGGCACACTTTTGTGAATTGTTTAAAGCCAAATTTTTATTTGTGCTTCCTTATTTTTTTTGTATTAAGCTCGGCACATTTCAGCGGTTACCGACACGTGTTGCTACTGACAATGCCAACAAACACGTAACACAAATTTTATAAAAAAAAGGCATTTACTCTCTATATATACGCATGCATATGTATGTATGTATGAATCCTTAAGAGGTGGCAAAAAAACACTAAAACTCAACGAGAGTGCGATAAAACTGAGATAAGCATTAAGAGCCGGCCGCCCGTCTTTGCTTTTCTCACTGATCTATCTTTTCAACAGTCACACAAATACGTACACACGCACATACCCTTTTCGCAACACTCATTTGGCCGCTAATTTGATTTTTATTTGTATCCTGTATACATATGTACATACATGCATACATACATACATACATTAAAGGGAATATATTTTTTATTCAAAATTTAGCGAACGGCAAATTTTTCGTCGCGAATGTTCGCCGAGATAATTAAAACACACTGATTTATATGAGAACGCGCACAACCAAAGCAAACGGCGAAGTTTGCTCGGCGACTGTTCGCGACGATAGATTTATTTCTATCGCCGCGGTCAACGGCAACGACCAGTGTTGCCAGAACTTTTTGGGCCGACCGGCTAGATTGGCAAAAAAAAGCGGCTAAAAACGGCTAAAATGTTTTAGTGAAATTTCACATAGACTCTGGCAAAAAACGGCTAAAATGTTTTAGTGAAAATTCACATGCTTTATTTAAATAAATCGCAAGAAACGAAAGACTAGTTAACACCATTAATTTATATCGAGTGTATATTCATCATCAAATGAATCACTATTGTATATATCACCTGAATTCATTAATTTTAAGAGATCGTCATCTACAGTAAAATTATGGCAGCATTTTTCTTCACGTTTTAAACCGTATCTTATATATAAAATAGCGTTTAACGTTTTAACGCACATTGGATTTCTTTGCTTAGTTTTTACTAAAACTACAACTAAAAACTAGGTTGGAAAGGTCAGCAAACTTCGGCCCAAAATTTTACAGTTGAGTCTAAATTACTCCAGGTATGTAACGTTAACCGTTGCCATTGCATCTCTATGGATGTTATTTCGTCGGCATTATATTTGTGTTTTTGTTGCTGTAGTTGAACAAATACTTTTGGTTTATTTACCCTTAATGCATTTCCAACCGAAAAAAGTCAATTTTTTTTAGTGTGGCGTTGGCGTAATTCCTTTATTAAACTGATAATAAAATAGCGACCATTTTCTCGAATTATTTTCTCGGCTTCGTGGTCAAAAGCGTTTGTGCT